GATTCACGTGGTATATTTGGTTGCTTAAAACCATTACCGAGTGAATGGGAAATTGAAGCCAAAGTGTGCTCCATGGAAATGGAGTTTTGGTGGAAATTACTTAAGGTGGTAAATTGGCTTGTCCCACATTGATTTGGTGGGAAGTTTTGAAAGGGTTTATAAGGCTGTTTAATTAACCAAGTAAGTTGTTTAATTTTATTCTGTTTTTTATTATGTTTATTTAATCAGATTTTATTTTTGTTTTTGTAACAAAATAAAATCTGTTTTTATTTATTTATTTTTATTTCGAGTTTGATTTTTGTAATCAAACAAATTCTCTCATTTTCTTTATTTCTTTAAATTCTATTTGTTGTTGTGTACACAATAGAATTAAATCTTTTAAATACAGTGAAGATTGTCCTACAGTTTATTGTTGAGTTTGTAAAAACGTGTACAAAATCCAAACTATTAATTTGTATAAAGTAGTGTTTTGAGAAGTTGACAAAAAATTAATTTTTTTAATTTTTTTGCTAAAAAAGCTAGCTTTTTTGTTTAAAAAAACTGACTTTTTTTTTTGGGTATAAAAAAGCTAAAAAATCAAAAACCAACTTCCTAAATTGCCCCTAAAATATCTACATGACAAACATCCAAAATTCAAATTTAACTAGAGAAAAAGTCTTAACTCGTCTTTATAATATCCCAGTGCCGACCCACTACCATATATATATATATATATATATATATGTGTGTATATTTGTTCTCCCTCAACCTTTTCGGAGAACATCTATCATTTCAATGAATTTTTGTCTTTTACTAATTGGCAATAGAATATTTTTGGGGTAAATTACAATGACACCCTCTAAGATTTTTATTTAATATAGATTTTTTTCACATTTAAAAAATTATTTTCACCGCCTTTGAGATTAAAATGATATGTTTATTCCTTAACCTTCATACATATAAAATAATAAAATAACACAGATATTTGTTCATATTATTTCAAAAAAAATAACAATTATCTTCTTTGATTTAATTCACACAAAAATTGAGTTTTTTTTTTGTATTTTTTTTTACTGATTTTTTTTAATATTGTAAGTAATTTTTAAATTTTTTTTTAGATACACCTAATTTGTATTCAATGATTTTTTAAAACTTTTTGTATAGATTTTATACTTTTTAAATATATTTAGATTAAATTGATCTAAAAAGTAAAAACATATTAATTAAAATATTTTAAAAATTATTGAAATTACAAAAATATAAATTAAAAACTCAAAAAAATTATTTCTAAAACCTCCGTGAGGGTGTAGAGTACATTTTTGTATGAACGAATATATATGCATTGTATTTTTGTGCTTTCAAGTGTTATAGCTTCCATTTGGAAAGTGGGTTAACTTTTTGACTTTTTGATTTTTTTAGCTATTTTAACTTAGGACTAAAAAGTCTAGTTTGGGAAGTACTTTTTGACTTTTTTGACTTTTTGGTGAGGTGTCTTCATGGTCAATTACCAAACTGCCCTTCACATGTTTTTAGCCCCATGTCAACTCATTTCTTCTGCTCCTCCACGTCAGAAATAAATCAGATCAAATTTATTTATTTATTTAATTTTTTTTTTCTCTTGGGTTTGGATTTGGCGTACTTTGATTGTTTTTTTTTTAATTTTTTTTTGGGTCATTTTTTCTTAAATTTATGTTTTTTTTCTTTTTTATTTTTATTGGTATACAATAACTTATTTTTATTTTTCAAAAATGAGTTTTCATGTGTTTTATTTATTTCTAAATTACGTCGCGAATGGTAATTTACGTTTTTATGTTTTTTTTAAATTATTTTTGAATGAGGCATATTTTTCTTGTTATTTTTTTTAATTTACGTTTTTGTCATTTTTTAATTAGTACACATTAATTTGTTTTGATATTTCAAAAATGGGTTTTAATTTTAAATTTTAATTTTTTTTTTTTTAATTTTTTTTTGGGTCATTTTTTCTTAAATTTATGTTTTTTTTCTTTTTTATTTTTATTGGTATACAATAACTTATTTTTATTTTTCAAAAATGAGTTTTCATGTGTTTTATTTATTTCTAAATTACGTCGCGAATGGTAATTTACGTTTTTATGTTTTTTTTTAAAATTATTTTTGAATGAGGCATATTTTTCTTGTTATTTTTTTTTAATTTACGTTTTTGTCATTTTTTAATTAGTACACATTAATTTGTTTTGATATTTCAAAAATGGGTTTTCATGCTTTTTATTTATTTGTAAATTACGTGACAAATGGTAATTTCTATTTTTTTTTTGGATGAGGCGTATTTGTGTCCTTTTTTTTTTTTTTGAATTTACGTTTTTGTTATTTTTTTTATTTCTATACATTAATTTTTTTTTAGTTTTCAGCAATGGTTTTTCACGTGTTTGCCTTATTTTTAAATTTACATGGCAACTAGTAATGCATGTTTTTTAATTTTATAATTTTTAATTTTTTACCTTGTTTTTAATTTGTTTGGTTTTCTTGGGAAAATGTTTTTTTATGTCATTTATTTAAAATGATGTGAAAAATCATATATTGCCGTGGCACGTGACAAAAAATGAGGTCTGTTTTCGTTTTTTTATTTTTGTTTTGAACTATTGTTTTATGTTTTTAATTGACATCGCACATGATAATTTCTGTATTAATTTTTTTTTTTTTTCTTATTTGTTTCACCTTGTTTTCTTTTTTGAAAAGACTTTTTCCTATGATTTTTGGTTTTTCAAAGTTAGGCATTCGTCACCAACAGAAAGGGAGTATATTCCCGTGTAAACACATTCTATTTGTACATGATAATAAATTTGAATACAGTCTGTTCCACGTGTGTTACCAATGTTACAACCCTACGAAAATTAGGTCTAATATTATATATTTCCTAACATTTCGTTGTTACGCATGTAACATAATTTGTCGCGTATGCGAAGGCGCACCAATGCCATATGCGGGTCCTCATCCCCAACCATTAAACCATGCTCAGCATGTTCAACTTCTGGTATGGCATTTACTATTGTCATTGCCTCTTCCTCGTCACAGATTGGGTGAACAGTTGTTGGATTACTTGTGTTTCGTCGTATATAATTATGTAATGCTATTGACGCACCTACTAACTGAATTTGCACATTTGCAAAGTCATACCGAGGCATGTTTCGAATAAACCCCATCGATTTTTTTAGGCACCGAAAGTGCGTTCCATCACACTGCGTAACAACGAGTGAACTTTGTTAAATAATTCCCTTAGCGTGTTTGTTGTCGTGTTCCGTAGAATACGTCGGAATTCTTGTTGGTGGTAACGCTGCCTCTGAATGGTGCTACCTATCCAGTTTGGATAGCCAGAATCAACAAGATAATATTTTTCTGCAGACAGGACAACAATGTATGACACCAAAAACAAACATTGTGCTTAATTTTCAGAGGCAACTGTGTCACAAAAAATTATAGCCCCATCGATGCAGAATTCATGGCACCGTGTTACCTTCATCAGGATGTGGAAATGAGACATTGTCATTTGTTAATTTCTTGTTGAAGATGCGACTATCATGCATACTTCCTTCCCTTCCGCACGAAATGAAGATGAAACACATGTCAAAATCGCACGCGGCCATGATATTTTGCGTGTGATAGTATTTCCTACCGAAATATGTTGCCGCATCTAGCCCCATAACCCATGCATTTACATGTGTTTCGTCTATTGATCCAATACAGTCCTGCCAACAACCCAATTGTATTGTTACTCCTACGGGTACATGTAATGGTTATTTTCATACTTCACATCCGTTTAATAATAAACACAAAATAACTGGTTTTCAGTAGTACCTTGAACGGTAGGTATTTTCGTTTAGACCGCACGTATGGATGTATACGATGCTGACTATATGTGGGCCGGCAATGAACAACTGTGAACTCTTTCATAGAAGCAAATGCGCTATGCACGTGCCGAGACACAGTCTCCCCCGAATGTTGGAACTGTTCTTGGATTTCCCGATTTTGCTTCCCTTTCAAGACATGGATAAACATCTCAACGCTTTCTTCAACAGCTAAGCCATGTGGACGTTGCGGCACTTGTAACCCAAAATCATTTACTAATGTCTCACACAAAGCGGCAAAAACTTCCTTCGGCATGCAAACATTTTCCTCAAATCGACCCATATGGCCTGCATATAGTTCGGATATCCATGCATTCCCGGTCAGTATAGAAGTGCGACATGGTGTTTTAGCCATGTGTTTTTGGTACTACTCTGTGACATATTGGCATGCTTGTAGAAATGTCCAGTTGTGTTCGTGTTGCAGCTGTACGGCCATTCCATTAAGCATTTCCCTTAACTCGTCATTGTTGCTTCCATCCCAGGGATTCATCACGTCGTTGTTGTCGCGAAACCTAAAAGAGTGGCATTGTTTCAATCAGTTTGCACGTGATGCATGAACTAAAATGATATAATAGTTTCCAAGTACAGCATAAGGCAACATCATTGTTAATGTTAAAAAATGCCGTCACCAATGTCATGACTACCGCATAATGAAATGAATTAAACAAATAGTAAACCTGGTCGTTATCCTGAGCAAGGGGACTATAAACACAGCATAAGCCATTGCTAACACAGCCTGAAAAGATGACGTGAAACTACCGTAACAGTTTCCCAAACACAACATTTAATTCAAACACAACATTTAATTCCATTCCAACAAAAACTGACAACCATTCAGACATCGCGTCTAAGACAAACATGCAAACCATTACAAAATCATAGCTAGCAAGAAAAAAAAAACATCGTACAAGTTTCAAACATGCAGACACAACCATCCTGTTTTAGTACAGTTCCAACAATAACATAAGTAAAAGATTTCAAAAGTCCAAGTTTGGCAGGCAGCTTCAACATGAATAACACGGCTATATCACATTGTAGACACCCCATTTTTGACTGCCCTTAAGACTTGGGCACTATTGATGGTTTACTTGGTGTTGAAAGGTGTGCAAGACAAAGGTTCAATTTCTTCAGTAAGGAGAGAGTCAAATCCCAACTTCATACCCCCTTTGGACCAAAACAATCTTGAACAAAAGGTTTTAGACCTTGAAACGCTCTCTTTCAAAATGTTTTAAAAATAAAGTTCCTACGATGTTCCGACGCTCGCATTTCGTTAAATGTTGCGTTTTTCGGTAAACCGAGCAAGGACAAAGTGGAAATGAATGAAAGAGAGATAAAATCTTTGAAAAATCTTTCAAAACACCTTGCTTAGGGGTTTGGAGTGGAAGAAAAGAAGAGGAGAGGGAAGAAAACTAGTTGAGGAGAAGTTCGACATGAATCGGGGAAGGATTGAAACTGAGCGGCTTCACCAAAACATGCATAACTTTTTGCACAGTTGGATTTTTGATACAAAGATTCCACCATTGGAAAGCTTACTTCCGGGGTTTCAATTTGGACACAAGAATGACCTGAAAATGAGTCCATATGAAGGAGTCATGGCCATTTGAAGTTGGACCTGGAAAGCAGAATTTTCCTGCAGACCAAAAAAGTGGTTTGCAGGTCCCAAACTCATATTTTTTTGCAGATCTTTTACCTCCAGCTGTCATGCACAAGCCCCCAGTTCAGATATTTCGACCAAAAGCTTTGAATTGCTATATATGAAGCCAAATATCTCATTTTCAAGGGGAGAACTTCTTGAGCAAGTTTGGGAGCTTCTCTCTCTAGAATTTTTAGACCCAAATCTCTGCCTCTCTCTCTATAGTTCACTTTCTCTTCCCCTTTTGTGCATAGAAGGGCATAGAAGTAGAGAAATATCACTAGTTTGCCTAGGCATCCTTCGTCAAAGTTGCATATCCATGGGCTGAGGTCTCTTGGAATTGATTTTTGGGCTGATAGAAGGTCATTTGAGCCAAGAAAGAGGCCCTTTTGCTACTGTGCTACAAGGGTAAGCACCTCTCATCTTTTGTATTAGTTTTTGCACACTTACTTCACCATCTTTGCACACTACTTTGGGGCTGTTTTTTGGGGTGGTATTGAACTATAAAAACCTCTATTTTTTCTCTATTTTTCAGTCCTAAAAGTCTTGGTTTGTGCCTTGGTTGGCTAGGGGGTTGTTCTCCCTTTTGCTCATTGGCTTGTAAGGCCTTGTGAGCTAACTTTCAAACTTTTCAAACAACTTCTTTTTGGCCTTAGAACCACTGAAATCCAAAGGATTTTTAGTGGTAAAAACCATGTTTTGAGGCTCAAAATAAGAGGGGGGTTATCCCCCCTCCTCTTGTCTTGCTTGCTAGTGTTGATGGCCAACCAAATGAGTATGTGTTTTTACTTCTTTATGGCTTTGTTTAGGCTCATTTTTGTGACCTATCAAACCTGCCATAACTCTATTTTTTACTGTCTTGGTCACCTCTTGCATGCTTATTGCACTTGTAGTGTAAATCCTCTTTGCTTGCCTTGTTAGCCTTACAAAGTAGCATGCTTTTGTGGCTTGTGTTAGCTCTTTTCAAACATGTTTTTATGACTTTTAGGACCTGCCTTAACTCTATCCATGGCCGGTTTGGTCACCTTATGCATGCTTTATACACTCGTAGTGTAATTGTTGCAAACTAGCCTCATATGCCTCATGAAGTAGCATGTTTGCTAACCATGTATGGGCTCCATTTCAGCATGTTTTTGGTCATTATTTAGCATGTCATGACTCTGTCTAAAGTTGGTTTGATGGCCCCTTGCATGCTCCACACACTTGTAATGTAATTCCATAAATTAGCCTAGTGTGTCTCATGCTTTAACATGTCATTCTAGCATATTTTAGGCTTAACTTCAAGAAGCTTTTGTCCATATTTTAACATGCTTTACCTTTGATTTGTATTGTTTTGGCCATGCATGACTTGCTTTGTATAGCTATAATGCATTCTAGCTTGTTAGCTTTGTGAGTCAAATCCACTGGCATGCATTACTTGGACTATTTGAATGATTTGCATAATTTATTATGTGATTTCAGTCTTTGTTTCATGGCCATGCACTTGCATCTTTCACTATTTCAATGCGTTGGAGGGTTGGCCCCTTTATGCCTTAACATGAACCATTGCGTATGCTTTCATGCCATAGCTTGCGAGCCATCATTTCAGTGTTTATTTGGGGTTATTTTGCCATGATATAACTCTGATTTTTATTGGTTAAGTCATCCCATGCTTGGTCTTAATAGGTGTAGTGTAAACCACCCTATATGCCTTGCATTCACCATGCTTCATGCCTCTTATGCTAGCATATTTTGGCCTACTTTCATGCATGTTTTAGACTCATTTTAACATATACTAGGACTGTTTTGAGTTGCCTTAGTCACATGCTTCATGTTTTGTATACTTGTAGTACAAATGCTCTTGTTTGCCTCAAGGTTTGAACACCATTGCATGCTTCATTTGTGTCGTGTACATGATTTGGCATCACTTAGCATGACATTTCAGAGCATTTAGCATTGCCATGTTCCTACCTCAATCATGCTTCAAGTGCCTTTGAGTGTTATGCATTGTTGCCCAGTTTATGCCTTAGCTCGTATGCTTGCATGCCTAGGTCTTTGAGCCTCCATCTTAGCATGTTTTGGTCCATGTTTCGACCTATTTCATCTCTGTCCATGGTTGGTTCATGCATTCGTGCCATGTATCGTATGCCTCCTTTGTAGTCCTCTTTATTAGCTTCATGCTTTAAGGACCTTTGCATGCCATGCTTGTGTTAATTAAATGATTTGGCATCATTTCTTACCTCATTTTAGTGGACTTAGTGTTGCTACACTTCCACTTGTGTTACTCTTTGAGCCCTCTTGAGAGTTGTGCTCTTAGGCCTAGTCAGTTGGACAATGCATTGTACATGCATGCCTTGCCTTTTGTGCCTTAATTTCATTATCAATGGCCACTGATTTGGGCATGACTAAGGTCTACCCTTTTTGGTTTAAGTCCATTTAGCATGTTCACGTGCATGTTGCTTGCATACTTATCTTACTTCGCATTGTGCATGTCAAGTTGTTCATTTACATTGAGTTTGCATGTTCCTAACATTGCTAAGTTGCCCTTTGTAGCATCGCATTGTATATGCATGTGTTAGCATTGTTTGCATGCCTTTAAGCATTGAGTGCTTATATTACATCGCATTGTGTATGCCATGTTCATCGCATTATGTATGCCTTATACTTTGCATTGTGTATGCTTAGGTAACATCGCATTGAGCATGTCATGTAGTTCTTTGCATTGTATATGCTTAGGTCACATCATTGCATTGTGCATGCTAATTGTCATTTGCATTGTGTATGCTAGTTGTTCTTAGCATTGTGCATTGTGCATGCCATTAGCCTTGTTAAGTTGTCCATATTGCATTGCATTTTGCATACTCCAAGTTCCATAGCATTGTGCATGCCATGTTTGTGTTGCATTGTGTTTGGAATAGGTGTTAGTCCAAACACAGGAAAAGAGGGACGTTTCATACTCATAGTGATGAAACATGCCTCGATTCCCGGTCGCCGACGCTCTGCTCTTGATCATACATGATAGAGTTCTAGGTCTTATTGTTTACTTGTGCATTCATTTCCATATTGAATTGTGCAACTTCCCTTTTCTGCCATCATGCATTGAAATGCGCAATTGGTAGCCCGAGGGTCGAGAACTACATTTCCTTGAGTCCATGACATGATAGGAAGGGTGGTTGTGCACACATATCTTGCAAATACATTGTCATGCCCTTTCTTGCTCTTTGTTGCAGCAAATTGAAATTCAACAGCAACAACTGGCCGGCCAGCCAGAAAAACTGCCTGGCCGACCACTTTTCTGGTTTTTCAACAACCAAAAGTGGTCGGCAGGTATTTGGAGAGACCAAAAGCGGTCGGCCACCCTCCCACAGAACTCCCAAGGTGAAATTTTAGCTTTCTGGAGCTTGGTGCAAGTTTCTGAGAACAAATGAAAACAGAGGCAAATCGGGGCATCGCACTAGATTTCCAAACGAGGCGACCGGACATGCATACATTCCTCCACCTCTGAGGCTCCTGATTTACTGCTTTCCTTAGCTGCTATGCTTAGATAGCTAGCTTTCGCTTTGATTTGTACCTTAATTAGTTAATGCGTTAGCTATTCAATTCATTTTGTAATAATTAGTTAACTAGGATTAGTTAATTAATTTGTTGTGTAATAATTAGTTTAATTAGCTTAGATTAGCTAGTTAGCTTCTTATTTGGTCCTTCCTTCGAGAGGGCGCATTGTTGTAATAAGTGTGCGTGTGTGTGATGCATGTCTTTCAACCTCCATTTCTTTCTCCCTTTTACTTAACTGCTTACGATGGTTAGTTTTAGGGCATATTTTGTTTAGCATACCTTATGTTTCGCATGCATGCATCCATTCATCTGTTTTGCATGCACCAGCCTCGCCGCATCATACTAACTGCATTGTATTTTCAATACATCACTTGAATACGTGTTTAACAGCATATTACTAAGTTGCATTTCATATGACATTCTAGAATAGTCGAGCCTATTTTAGTTGTATTTTCGCATGTGTTGCATTAGCCATCTTAACATGAAATAGGATGCATGATTTCTAACTAGTTTTTTGTTTTGGCTCGGAGTATACTACGAGTGTTTACGCTTTAGCATACTGCATGTGTGTTATTGATTGTCATGAAAGCATGCTTGCCATGAGGCTAATTGCTTATTTGCTATAACTGCCTGAATGCTTGTGGGTGAAGGTTGGAATACTTGAATTGGAACAATTCATTGAAATCTGCATTTTAACCTATTTGCGAGTAGCAAACTTCAAACCATTTTCCAAACAAACCGATATGCGATGCTTTGTTTCAAATTAGGCGATCTAGTCTATACTTGTGTGTTGTGCGCATCACATAATAATTCTTGCTAATTAACCGGAATAAGAGCACATGTGTTTTCAAAAACAAGATATCATGTTTAGTACAGGCCGATCTTTGATCGGGCGAGCGGTAGTACTCATTAAATAACCTTCCCCAATCGTACCTAAGTTCCCGAGCCGAGGCAACTTTGGTGATGACGGACACGTGGCCTTACGCACGAGTCAGGGTTTCCTAAATTCTCCCAAAATAAAATATTTAGGTGGCGACTCTGTATCTGGCAAAGCAGTTCATGTTTGACACTTCTTTACAAAAATCAGTTTTCCAAAACGATTTGCCGGATTTGGACTCTTTGGTGATTTATCGGTCTTGCATTGTACTTTGTGGGATTAGATTCAGAATCGTGACATTTGAGTCCGAACTGTAGTAGCTAAAGAACAAAACGAGATTCTCTCGGGAGTTCTCGGGGCACGTCTACACACATCCGGCGAGCCCCAAAAAGGTTCACAAATGACGCCGACGCAATACACTAGAGCTACTTCTGTGTAAGCCACCTTATAATGTGGTCATCATTAGGCTAACACATCATCACCTCCTGGTAATCTGCGTTATCCATAAGGGTCAAGGCGAAATGAAATAGCGACGTACCAACAAGGGATGGAATAGTCAGCAGGCGATGCATGCGCTCTGAGATAGTGTACATCGATTCGTTACCTGTGAGGTGCCTCACCGTGACCTGCTGATTTTTGGTACGCACCACATCTGTTAGATTGTTCATGATTTCTGCAATAACAGACGCTCCACTTGTTGCCTTCTTGGACTTTGAAACACTTGTTGATGGCGTCTTTCTCCTTTTTCCCTTTTCAACCACAACTGGTTCCAGTGAAGAATCTGAATCTACGTCCTGTACTCTTGCAGGTATCGGATCAGCAAATGGCTACGCTCTCAGACTACGCACAGAATCAGATTAGTCATCGGCCTCTTCAGCAAATTTCTCTTCCGGTGTCCAATGGTGCTTACCAGTAGCAGATGCCCCCATGAAGACCGTCTCTATCAAGTCACGATGTTCCAGAGTTTTTTTCCTGAACTTGGCACACACCTTGTTTATCTGCACAGTTGCAGATTTAAAAAAGAGGAAGGCATTACATTTCATATAACAAGTAATGCAATTAAGTTGAAAAGTTTAAATGTACTGGTAACAGATGAATATGAAACGCAATAAACATGTACTTACTGATTCCATCTTATCCCACCACTCCTCAGGTGCCTGAAACATACTGGTGTCACTGTCAAACTCTATCCCTGACACTCCTTTGCTTGAATCCATCAACTTTGTCCACGCTTGCCACTTTTTTCAAACTCATGTATTTATTCTTCAACTGTTTGAGGCCATGCTTTCTTCCTGTTTTTTTCTCAAATTTCTTTGCAAAGGACTTGTACCCTGCTTGGCTGAGGACTAAGAATGGTCGATTTCCTTTTGTAATCTCATTTGCAATCAGCTGTAGGAAAACTAGAATTGAGTCACTATCCCATGAGGCCTTGTGGCTGAACTGATTCTGTGTCTCTTCAAGACTGCTTGATTTATCTGTGACAATGCCTTTGCTTTTGGATTAGGTATGCGGAGAAGTACGTATGGAAGCCATTACTAATATAGGGTTACAAAAGATTACCATCACAAATTTGGTTGTTATATACAAATGCATAAGTCATTGCGCACTAATAACAAAAAACAGAGAGATAAGATGGTAAATTAGAAAGCATATAACCATTGCACATTAATAACATACACAATACACAGGTTCCATGGAACTCAGTAGTGGACATAGTTATGATAATCATTAATATTTCCTAATGTTTCATAGTGGAGGAAGGCAAAGGCAGCTTAAAGTCATACTAAAACACACTAACAATCTCGTAACGTGTTAGTACATACTGACAACATCCTAACGTTACTTACATATGGAACAACAAAATGACAACGACAATGCATAGCACATACACAATGGTCTTAAGGACACAGCCCGCAATTGCATGACAATTTCATCTCTGGGTGACGCATAGTCTTGGTTCTTTCGCCTTGGTTCTTTGCACCAACCAATCCGACTGACATAGGGTTGATGAGTGCAAATGATAGAACTATTAGTTTCATGGGTTGTTAATGTTCATACAGTTATGACCGATAAAGAATGGGTCACTCACCACAGGACGGGGACATGCAAAGTAAGGACACCCTAGATTTTTGGTGGACCTAAAAATCTTAACAATACAGGGGCCATGTCCACAGGCGCACATTCGTCGTGGCCATGTACTGGAAGTTGCAATAGAGATAAACGAAACCATGCTACGCTTTACAAACATTCGGAAGTGACCATGAATCATACAAGTAATTAGTTTATGTTATCCATATATCAGGGCTACGTAAACCGAATACGTTAAGCACATTTCTATATTGGATAGGTATACAAATTTTCAACTTCCTTCAGCTTATTTTAAAAAAAAGCAGGCTACATTATCATGGTTTCACTGTGAAGGTGATAATAGAAAAGCAAAGATCTAATTTCCTTTGCAAACCTAATATATTTTAAAGGGCTACGTAACCGTGTGTTTACATGACTGAAATGAAGAATTCATGATCAAATTAAGTCAAAACATTGTAAATTATGAATCCGTAATCAATAGGCATTTCAATTAAATTTACATGAATCAGCATGAAAACGTACAAAGACCAACGCAACTTTATATTTGATTCCATTAACGAAATTGAATTTTTGTAAAAATGTTGTGCATCTTGAATTTACGTATAGTGGTAGGAGTATTTATTAACCCATATGCACTTCCACAAATTCCTTTTGTAACCATTAAGTTGATTATTATTATTATCCTAGTTATTATTATTATTATTATTATCAGTTGTTTTGACAAAATTTGAGAATACTCTATTTATATCAACAATTTACAAGATTATACTTTTTTTTTAAATTGGACATGAAAATATAACAGAATTGACATCCACATGAAAATTGGACATACTTTTTTTTAAAAAAAATTTCCTAACTGAATCAGCATTGACATCCTCTTCAGCATTTGAGTATAAAAATAACAAAAAATTAGACATCCTCTACAACATTGAGTATTGAGTATTGAGTATTGAGTATTGAGTATAACAAAAAATAACAAAAATTCAGGCTTCAGCATTGAGTAAAACAAAAAATATAATAAAAATTGGACATTTTTTTCCTCATTGACTAAAAAATCACAGAACCCATTTTAGTTTTTCTTATTAATTCATAGACTTAGATTTCATGACAAATCAATAGGTATTTAACAAAATCATATATGCATTCACAGATTTCATTCAAAATTTATTTCAAAAATGGCTAAAGACTAGCAGTGGAACAATGTATACATCAATTTGATAAATCAAATTTCATTAAGCATTTGTACACATCAATTCGAACTTGTGATCTGAAAGTTTTCATTTTTAATGATAATTATAAGAAAAAAATCAAAAGAAGAACAGAGTGCTTTACGGATCTCAACAGAGCTTTACCAGAATCAGATATGTATTCACAATAATATAAGTGCATTTACAGATTTCATTCAGAATTTATTTCGAAAATGGCTAGAGACTAGCAGTGGAACAATGTATACATCAATTTGATAAATCAGATTTCATTTAGCATCTGTATACATCAATTCGAACTTGTGATCTGAAAATTTTCATTTTTAATGATAATTATAAGAAAAAAATCAAAAGAAGAACAGAGTGTTTTACGGATCTCAACAGAGCTTTACATACTCCGACCCTTATTACTCACAGATTTACAGATTTATATATAAGAACAGATATATGTATATATATATATATATATATATATATACATATATCTTTGCCCAAAATGTGTGAACCCAAGCATGACGATGAACTTCAACAGGTCGGTAATGAACCCAATTTGTAATGAACCCAAAATGTGCCAACTTAAAAAAAGAGAGCCCACATTTCCTTGCAAATTTGGAAAAAATCCTAACGTTGTATACAGATAAAGGGATTCCACACATGAACCCTAAGCAGATCGAAAGCAGAGGCCACACACATACGAAAAGGGAAACGATATCAGAAGGGTTTGAAAGAGTTACCTGAAGATCGGCGGTGCTTGAGAGGGTTCGTTCTTGTTCGCCGCTGCCAACGTACGCCCCAACCATTCGATTTGCCGACCTGTTCGCGAGTTGTCTTCGCCGTCGCAGATGGGTACTTCAGTGCAGATCGCCTCTGCGAAGCTGCCTCACACGTCGTCGCCGCTGGTTGCCATTAATCGCCTCATTCGCTTCTTCTGTGCCCTAGGAAGGTTGTGTGTGTGGTGAGGCGTTGGGCGAAATGAATCAGAGGGATATTTCAGGGTATTTTGGTAAATTTACCCGAAGAAGGGTTCCTCTCCAACTTGTTCAAGCGTTTTTGTCGTCATGTGGCTAAATAAGCCTCTTTTGTCCACATGTGGCTAATTTAGCCTCAACTTTCCTTCCCAAACACCACCATAGGGTGGCTGGTTAGATTTTAAGTGAATGGCGATATTTGGTAATTTTGTAATAAATGTGGGTGAATAGACGAGAAAAAAAAATGATTGTGGAAATAAAAATAAAAAATTCTATTCATATATGTAAATTTATACAAAAAAGGTCACCATTATTCATATTTATAGGTGTTTTGTTTTAAAATGAAAAGTCACAATTAAACTATATCATTGTGTTTAAAAATTATATATATAATTTATGTTTGTATATCATCACTCATTAAGAATATATTCAGATAGAATTTAATAATGAATATAATATAGTCATTATGATAAGAAGAATAAATGATAAGAAAAATGACAAGATAGAATATTTTAGGACTTGACATCATCAATCCAAGGGGCAATTTATAATTAGATTATAAATTGCGGGAAGAAAATATTTTTTAAATGTGAGAGACTCTGTATTAAGCATAAAACCTCTAGGTATCAGTGTAATTTATCAATGTTTTTGGTTAGTAGATCTCTCTCCGTAAAAAAGAAAAAAAAAAGAAAAAAAAGAAAAAGGGTAGTGAAGAAAGTGAATAGCTGTTGGTCTATATGTCTAAAACTGCAATGTTTTGAATTAGAGTAAGAAGCGTATTAAACTATTTTAGAATCAAAATCTGAAAATGTGTTATATTTTAAATTTATGAGTTATTGAATCATAATTTGAAAATAGAAAATTTGTTTGATTATGAGTTTTAAAAAAAATTTTGAATTAAATTTTAAATTTTGAATTTTTTGAATGAGTTTTGAAATAAGAAAAATTGTTTGATTATGAGTTTTAAAAAGAGTTTTCAGAACTTAATTAAAAAACATATAACTCATAATCAAACACATAACTCAAAACTCTATTAAAAATTCTATTCAAAACTCATAACTAAATTTTTTAAAATTTAATTAAAAAAATAATTATTGAAATAAATATTTTTTTATTTAAAATATTTAAAAATACATATTATTTTTTGTTAAAAAAATATTCAGCTAGTGCTTTAAAATTACTTTTAATTGTATATTTGGTTGAAAGATTTTTTTTAATTATTTTTTTTAAAAATATTTTTTTATTTTTTTAAAATTACTGTGACAAATTAATTTTTGTTTAAAAAATAAATGACCAAATAATTTGTCATTTTGATCTAAAAAAATAATTTATATATATAAAAAATATCAAAAACAAATATAATTTTTTTTTTTCAAATAACAGGATGTAATTGCAAAAAAAAAAAAAAAATACTGTTTCGGTCAACCGACTAGACATCCAGAAGGATGTTTGGGCAGATGGTCAGTAGATCTAAAAATTTAAAAACTCTCTGGTTTACCAAATATGTTTTCAAATGTATTTTGAAATGTGATTTGCAATCATATTTTGAAAAGTATAATCAAACAAAGAGTTGGAATATGAGATTGGAATCAAAATTTGAGAAGGGAGCCAACCAGAACCAAATTTTTTTTTATTACTTTGACCACTTTCACTTTAACCAAAGTTACCTTAAAAGATTTAGTAAAAGATCCTCATAGTCAATAGAAATAGAGGTATAAGTTTTTATTGATCGTCAAGTGAACACTTTCTATTATTTTTTTAAACGGTGAATAACAAAAATACATAAAAACAAAAGTTAAAATAGGATGATGCAATTTTTATAATTAGAAGATCATAGATTAAAATAAGATTTAAACGAAAGTTACTGGATGAAATTTGTAACGTACCCATTTATACTATCTTCTATGTGTTCTTTTGTCTTATATGTACTTTGCTTGAAGATAAAGACATGCATGCTTCCATTTCAGTATATATTAGTTTTCACACAGCAAACACATGACACACATTTATACATACAAAACGAGGAGTCCGGATCATCGGCTGCACTTTCATGTGACCCTATCCAAAACGACAACATTTTACTTTGTTTGTTTGAATTTTTTTTTTGTTTTTTGTTTTTTGTTTTTTTCCTTTCAAATTTGAGTTTCTCCCCCTTTTTTCAGTTTCATCTCTTTCATCTGCATTTAGCCCTAACACAGAAACGAATTGAGAGACGCGAGAGAGAAAGAGAGAGAGAGAGCGGCGGAGAGATGAATTGAGAGAGACAAAGGAATACGACGGAAAGAGAAACGAATTAAGAGAGATGGCGGAGGGATGTAACGGCGAAGGACAGAGGATGGCAGAGGGACGCGGCGACGAAGGACAGAGGATGGCCGGCGACGCTGAGTCTGGCGGTGACGCAACGGCGGCAAAGCGAGATTGCAGCCGTGACGAGGTCCATTTCATCATCATTGTCATTTCTTGCTATTATGTACAAGTGAATGAACATACATATATACATACATATCTGTGAGTGCGAATGTAGAAAAATGAAGGATTGAAGGACTAACCATTCGTGGCAAAATTTCATAGTACTCATTTTGAAAATCTGAGATTGAGAGAAAGATATGGAGAATTGGGTTCTTTTCTCTGCCTTTGTTCTATGAAGCACGGATACTTCAAAAAGGGTGACGTATCCGTATCGGATACTTATCGGATACCGATACTCCTCGAATACTCGCGGATACGTATCAGATACTTCTTAAAAGTATCGAATACTTCTTAATTAATTTTTTATTAATTTTGAAGTATCAGATACTTCTTAATTAATTTTTTATTAATTTTGAAGTATCGGATACTTAATTTTGAAGTATCGGATACTCGAAGTTACATATTACTTATAATATTTTGTTTAGTTCTTTCATAAGAGGAATATAGTGAGAGTTAACGTAATAGAATTTGTCAAATTGATGTATCCTTGTTGTCTCTCTCACTTCTCTCTCGCTTTCTCACTCTCTCACGTTTATTCTCTCTGCTCTCATTCTTTTTTTGGTGTTGGCATGTAAGGACACTACAAGAAAAAACACTCCTCGGATACTTGCGGATACGTATCGGATACTTCTTAATTAATTTTTTATTAATTTTGAAGTATCGGATACTTAATTTTGAAGTATCGGATACTCGAAGTTACATATTACTTATAATATTTTGTTTAGTTCTTTCATAAGAGGAATGTAGTGAGAGTTAACGTAATAGAATTTGTCAAATTGATGTATCCTTGTTGTCTCTCTCACTTCTCTCTCGCTTTCTCACTTCTCTCTCGCTTTCTCACTCTCTCACGTTTATTCTCTCTGCTCTCATTCTTTTTTTGGTGTTGGCATGTAAAGATGATGTTTAATTTGCATTGCATTTGTTTTGCTTTTAGTTTTGGATGTTTTATGAATGTTTGAGCACTTTTAGGTTAATAGGAATCCCTCTCTTTATTTATTAATTTACTTTAAGTTTTATTTTCATGCATATTAGATTATTAAAATTATAAAAAAAAAAAATTTATGAATGTATCCCCGCTGTACCCGTATCATACTTTTTCAAATTTTGACATATCGCCATATCCACATCCCCATATCACCATATTCGTATCCGTGCTTCCTAAGCTATCATTGATGACTTAAAAAAGTATATTTGCTGATATTTTTATTTAAAAATGGTTTTTTGGCTTTGGCTTTGGCTGTAGCTAAGGTCTTGTGATATTCACTGATGAAAAGGAACAAGTTGAAGCTATTGACCTTGAAAGCTCTTAGTTTTGTAGGAATCTTTCTTCTTTATCAAGTTGTCTTTTGCTTTAAGTTTTATTTTTATGCATACTGCATTACTAAAAATTGTTAAAATAATATTTTTTACGAACGTATCCCCACCGTACCCGTATCCTAGTTTTTCAAATTTTGTCGTATCGCCGTACCGTATTGTATCCGTATCCGTATCCCGTGTTCGTATCCGTGCTTCCTAGCCTTTGTTCAAACCTCTCTTGCTTTGCTTGTGCTTTTTCTTCTCTCTCTCTCTCTCTCTCTCTCTCTCTCTCTCTCTAATGGCGGTTCTTCTAGAGGGGGTATGAAAGTGCTTTTATAGACCCTTTTTTTTACTGAAATTTCTATTTTGCATTTTGGAAGCATTCCTTGTGATTTGTATTACATTTTGTGTTGCAAACCAATTGTTTGATAAATGTCTTCAGAGATAATCTTGATATATAATGATCTTGAAGAATTTTTGTTGCAAACTAAAATTTTCTTTTTGACTTAATTTGTTATCAATAAACAAACTATTATTCTTCAATTGATCCTTGTTAACTTCATTATATTTTTTATTTGTCAGGTTATTAAGTCAACAATTTAGGTTGGGGTTTGGGTAGATGCTACCAACTTGTGACCAGTTGCAAGAAGAACAAATGGATTAACCAAGCTGGTGTATTGAATTTGAAATAGTAAATGAGGAACAATGAGGAACAAATATAACAGTGTAAATGAGGAACAATGAGGAACAAATGATGTCAAATAGAACAGTGTAAATGAGGAACAATGACGAACAAATGTATATATTTTTTTCACTTCAGCCATTTGACTAATCAGTCCATTAGATGATAAAATGGATGAAAATCATTCCATTTAGCCAAATGTATATATATATATGCTCACTTCAGCCAAATCGTCTCTCTTTGATCTTAGCTTGTTCTAGCAATTGAAGTCCAATTGTGCTATTTGTGATCTTCAATTGAACTAATAGACAAAGCCCTTTGTTGTCTCTCTCTCTCTCTCTCTCTAGCTTGTTCAGCAACCAGATTGTGAATTTGTTGATAAATTTTTTACACTTGGATCTAATAAAATCTCTATCTCAGTGTAAAAGAAACAAAACCCTTGTGATTTTCTTCTTTTTCTTGTGCATCTGTGTAGAAAAACCGTAACAGGTTAATGTGTACATCTAATGCATAATTACAATCCTTACAATACTGGCTATGGCTATGGATACCCTCAGGTTCCACCTCCAAACCCATCTCCCAATTCTGGTTTATACCCACCTTCTGCTTATCCCCCTCCTTCTCCTTACTACTCACTACAGCCAAATCATTCTATTAAATGATAAAATGTATATGTATATATATACTCACTTCAGCCAAGTGTATGTATATAGTGAAAATTATGCTTTTCAAGCTCTGGGATCAGCAAACCTCAACAAATCATTCCATTCAATGATAAAATGGATAGAAAAGTAGAAATCAAATCATTGTGAAATCACAAAAACCAAAAACAAACAAACCTCGTCGCTGCCTCGCGTTCGTCTCTCGTCGCCTCCACTCGTCTCACCACCGCCTCTTTGTCTTCGTCTCTC